TGAAGCGTCTGCCTAACAAAGTAATGCTTCCAGCAAAGCGCCTAAATCTCTCTCGTACATAGACTCGGTCACCTTTTCATCAGGAAGGCGCAGCAAGACTGCTACCACCCCATTTGGACTGGCATTGATTGTGACAACGAGTGGCAGGGATGGGTCCGCAATTTCTAGGACAGGGTAGTGAGTTAGAGTGTTCTTTAACCTCTTGGACGATCTCTTCTTTAGAACAGTCTCTTCTCGTAGCCTGCTATAATGCAGAAGTTCCTAACAAACTTTCTTTCTTTTTGGACCATTTCGGGATTTATGTGTGTCATCCTTGCACAGCGGTCATGCCAATCTTCTCTGTAAGGTTCCAATTTGAACGGATGTCCCAAAGGATTACTAACGAACTTCCTATTGCTTGCCAATCGCAGCAATCTTCCTTTCTTCTGGCCTTAGTCATTCAATTACTGTATGTCCCAAGTATAATACTTCGTACTTTGCGAATTTTAACTTCTTAGGATTAATCTTGAAATTCCCCTTCGCTAGATTCTGTACGACCATTTGCAGACATTTTTCGTGGTCTTCTAGTGTCTCGCTGCACACCAATATATCATCCAGATAAACTACTCCATTTGGCGGGTTTCTCAAGACAAAATGGCTGACAGATCTAACATGGAGATCTGGAGGATAAGAAAGATAATTAATAAAGCGCCCATTGGAACTATTTGTAAGAAACCATTCTAACTAGAAGGAGATATTGATCTAGCTCTTCATGAAAAAGCCCATCCATAGATCGTTGAAAAGTTGCAGGGACGTTAGTACGTCCCAAAGGCCTGTCCATGCAGTCATAATGTCCATACCTTGTCCTGAACTCTGTCGTATGCTGATCTTCAGGAACTACCTCAATCTCATGATAGCCATACTTCGGATCAATCTTACGAAAGTACTTACATCCTTGCAAATGGTCTAACAGGTCATCGATCTGAGGGAGCGGTTCTATTACAGCATTCAACACTCAATAGCCTATGCAAAGTTTAACCTCACCTTCCGTCTAGGGCACGGATACAAGAGGTGCCCCATACGAAGATGAGCTAGGCAAAATGAATCCTTTCTCTACAAGTTTCCGCACTTGTTTGTCCAGTTCTTCCAGTCCCCGAGGAGACATTCCATAGATCAGTCTCAAGGAAGGTTGCTGCCGCATATGATCTCTATTGTGAATTTGATCGTTCTTTCAGTTACCCCAGTAGGTCCAATTTGCAGGTCCTTGCATTCATTCAAAAGTTTGAAGATAGAAGGTAGAACAGAGGATTGATACTTGGCCTGCCTACTGTTTTCACTGGGACCATCATGACTTCCACTGACTTCTCTTTCGTGACGAAGCTTTGAAAGGCAGATAAACTCATACGATAGAAAGCCAATGCAAAGTCTGAACCGAACTTGTGAAACAACTTGACTGGTTTTAGCTTTTGTTTGTTGTTTTTGAGTTTAACCACAGGGCTGCGCCGGCAACCGGCCGGTTCAGCTTGCCTGGTCCAACCGGAGCCCGACCAGCCCAGGGGGGATGAACCGGGAAACCGGTTTTCAAAAAATAAACTTAATAAAGCCCAATTCTCTTTTTTTTTTTCTTTTTTCTTTTTTTTTGGGTGGTTTCTGACTGCGCTCTTCAAGAGCTGTTGAAATCCGTAATAAAATTTTGAAGGTCCAATTTTTTTGGGAGATGCCCCAGAGGGAGGTGGGGATATTATTGGGATATCCACGGAGGTGTTGCTTTCAGGGGGAGGGGTCAAGTAGGCAAGGTTACTTATCCGACCCCCCACGGCCCAAGAACTACAACTCAGTAGCAGAGGGCACTCTGGACTATGCCAACGGCCATTGGAATCCTGCAATCTGAACTAGACGTGATTGGACTGAATCCTTGCCAAAACTTGTACCTTTTCCAGAGTATAGCTCGAGGGCAGAAAAGTTATGGTTGCAGGTTTCAGGTCGTCCAGGCAGAGCGTTTTCTGTTTGTTTATTTTTTACATACGCTGGGTCATCAGTGTCCTCAGTCCGAAAGTATCTCGCCTGCCAGTCTGTCCAGATACATGTAGTGGAGCCCGGTCCATTCTAGATAGATTGAGATAAAAATATAGCTTAGGTCCATTCTTGGGCTTGCACCTCAGACAGAGCCGAAACCGAAACCCATAACTCTTTCCCCAGAGCTTAGTGATGTTGCAGAAGCATATAACCTCAGGAGAGCCACTCCTCTTGCATAGTAATTCCCTCGTGGCTGAGGATGGACGAGTATGTCCTGCCAATGACATCTGGTACGTGGTCTGTCGGACCACACTATGCCAAACTTAAATATGGGGCCTGGTGGAAAAAATGCGCACGGCGGTTGTTCTCTGCTGATCTGCAAAGATAAGTGCCAGAGATCCTCCGCTCCTTGTTTTCTAGAAGTGGGGACCAAAAAAACCCAATTTTCTTTTCAGAGGAGGCTGTGGCCTCGTGGGGACTGGGCAGTCGTGGGGTTGCCTGTCACTGATCGGTACACCCCGTCCAGCCTAATGCGCTGGATTCAACCGGGGGTCTGCGTGGCCGGCCAACCAGCCAGTCCGACCGGCAGGGTCCCGGGCGATGCTATGGGCCCCCGGTCCAACCGGGGACCAGCCCTGGTTTAACAATTTTATCTTTGAACTTGACATCTGGGTGAGCTGCGCCATGCCAGTTAACGTGCAGAATCGAGTCAAATGGAGAACTTTTTCTACCAAAGACGTGATTTCATGCAAAATTAATTGTCTTTCTTCGGTGCAAAAATAGCATTTGACTAAATGCACGTAGTGTGAGACAATGATAGTGCTTTGACCTGCTAACACAGAGGTAATTGAACTGGACAACTTGCTTACCTACATTACCAGGTGCAACTTCATAATTGTCTTTTCTGAGGTGCATGATCTAGTTGACTCAGGGTCTGACAAAGCACCTACTCGTGTTCGTGCAATCTCTGTATCCACGAGGATTAGCTCGCCCTTTCTCTTTCCTTCCTTAGCCCCTGAACTTCTTTATGCTATTAGTTATGTTCCAAGTTCATTAAGGGACTCACCCAGCGTGACTGAACACAAAATTGTCTCAGGGTGATCTGGGAGAGGGGTCGAAGATGAGCCACCCTCTGCCATAGGAGCTGGAGAGTCGAAGGGGGGTCCCGGCGCCAACTCATCTGCACCCTCTGGCTCAGTAGGAGCAGATGCTACGACTACTACTTGTTTCCCTTCTAGTAGATGCTACGCCTACAAGCTGTTTCCTTCTGATTGTCCGATCTGGAGGCACCCTGCTATGATGTGCCCCTCAGTGCCACAGTCAAGGCGCTGCCTCTTGTCCATCCGTTCCTGCCACACTTCCTGTGTAATGCCTATTTTCTTTGAGGGCTCACCCGAAGCTATGCCAGGATGGGGTGGAAAGGATCTCAACTTCTTCTTTTCTCCTCCATTGTTTGTGCCTCCCTTGTCTGTTTCTCGGACCTTTCTCCTCCCTCACTTCCTTTGAGGCGGCCATCTCTCCACA